TCCACAGCTGTGGGAGTCGCTGTTGTTACGGGCCTAGTTGTTTTGGTATTATAAGTTGGAGGTTGTTTCGTTGTTGGTGGCAGATATGTTGGTGGTTGACACTCTGGATCCTGCGAGCCAGGATAACATCTCGGCTTAATGGTCGTCGCGGGCCTCTGAGGGCATCGAGGATCGTTAGACCCTGGATAACATTTCGGTGTTTCTGTAGTTATAGGAGCTCTGGTTGTCGTGTAAGTTGGTGTTCTTCTTGTTGTCGGTGACACACATTCAGGATCGTTTGAGCCAGGATAGCAACGTGGCTTCGGTGTTGTCGCTGGTTTTTGAGGGCATCGAGGATCGGTCGAACCTGGATAGCAGCTCGGTTTCGGCCTATCCACTGGAGTTTTTCTAGTTGTCGGTGGCAAGTAAGTAGCGGGTTGACACTCTGGATCCTTAGAGCCAGGATAACATCTCGGCTTTATGGTCGTCACGGGCTTCTGAGGGCATCGAGGATCGGTAGACCCTGGATAACACTGTGGTTTGGGTAAGACTGTAGTTGTTCCTCTAGTTGTTTGTGGCTGGAAGGTGACTGGTAAGCACTCAGGATCACTCGATCCAGGATAGCACCTTGGCTTAGGTGAAATTGTGGGAGTGCGGAATGTAGAAGGAGGCAAATAGGTGGCAGGTTGACATCTGGGGTCATCTGAGTTGTCCTCACAGCCTGCTTTTTTGGTTGTTGGCACCTTAGGACATCTGGGATCTGGAGAGCCTGGAAAACAGTTGAGACACTCCGGATCCTGTGAGCCCGGATAACATCTGGGCTTTGTTGTAGTCGCAGGCCTCTGAGGGCATCGAGGATCGTTAGACCCTGGATAACATTTCGGTGTTTCTGTAGTTATAGGAGCTCTGGTTGTCGTGTAAGTTGGTGTTCTTCTTGTTGTCGGTGACACACATTCAGGATCGTTTGAGCCAGGATAGCAACGTGGCTTTGGTGTCGTCTCTGGTTGAGGGCATCGAGGATCGGTCGAACCTGGATAGCAGCTCGGTTTCGGCCTATCCACTGGAGTTTTTCTAGTTGTCGGTGGCAAGTAAGTAGCGGGTTGACACTCCGGATCCTGGGAGCCAGGATAACATCTCGGCTTAATGGTCGTCACGGGCTTCTGAGGGCATCGAGGATCGGTAGACCCTGGATAACACTGTGGTTTGGGTAAGACTGTAGTTGTTCCTCTAGTTGTTTGTGGCTGGAAGGTGACTGGTAAGCACTCAGGATCACTCGATCCAGGATAGCACCTTGGCTTAGGTGAAATTGTGGGAGTGCGGAATGTAGAAGGAGGCAAATAGGTGGCAGGTTGACATCTGGGGTCATCTNTAGAGCCAGGATAACATCTCGGCTTTATGGTCGTCACGGGCTTCTGAGGGCATCGAGGATCGGTAGACCCTGGATAACACTGTGCTTTTGGTGAGACTGATGTTGTTCCTCTCGGAGTTGGTGGCTGGTAGGTGACTGTTGAGCACGCAGGATCTCTTGATCCAGGATAACACCTTGGCTTAGGTGAAATTGTGGGAGTGCGGAATGTAGAAGGAGGCAAATAGGTGGCAGGTTGACATCTGGGGTCATCTGAGTTGTCCTCACAGCCTGCTTTTTTGGTTGTTGGCACCTTAGGACATCTGGGATCTGGAGAGCCTGGAAAACAGTTGAGACACTCCGGATCCTGTGAGCCCGGATAACATCTGGGCTTTGTTGTAGTCGCAGGCCTCTGAGGGCATCGAGGATCGTTAGACCCTGGATAACATTTCGGTGTTTCTGTAGTTATAGGAGCTCTGGTTGTCGTGTAAGTTGGTGTTCTTCTTGTTGTCGGTGACACACATTCAGGATCGGATGAGCCAGGATAGCAACGTGGCTTTGGTGTCGTCGCTGGTTGAGGGCATCGAGGATCGGTCGAACCTGGATAGCAGCTCGGTTTTGGTCTATCCACTGGTGTTTTTCTAGTTGTCGGTGGCAAGTAAGTAGCGGGTTGACACTCCGGATCCTTAGAGCCAGGATAACATCTCGGCTTTATGGTCGTCACGGGCTTCTGAGGGCATCGAGGATCGGTAGACCCTGGATAACACTGTGGTTTGGGTGAGACTGTAGTTGTTCCTCTAGTTGTTTGTGGCTGGAAGGTGACTGGTAAGCACTCAGGATCACTCGATCCAGGATAGCACCTTGGCTTAGGTGAAATTGTGGGAGTGCGGAATGTAGAAGGAGGCAAATAGGTGGCAGGTTGACATCTGGGGTCATCTGAGTTGTCCTCACAGCCTGCTTTTTTAGTTGTTGGCACCTTAGGACATCTGGGATCTGGAGAGCCTGGGAAACAGTTGAGACACTCCGGATCCTTTGAGCCCGGATAACATCTGGGCTTTGTTGTAGTCGCAGGCCTCTGAGGGCATCGAGGATCGTTAGACCCTGGATAACATTTAGGTGTTTCTGTGATTATAGGAGCTCTGGTTGTCGTGTAAGTTGTTGTTCTGCTTGTTGTCGGTGGAGTGTACGTGGGTGAAACACATTCAGGATCGGATGAGCCGGGATAGCAACGTGGCTTGGAGGTCGTCGGGGGTTCCTGAGGGCATCGAGGATCGGTCGAACCTGTATAGCAGCTCGGTTTCGGTCTATCCACTGGTGTTTTTCTTGTTGTCGGTGGTAAGTAAGTAGCGGGTTGACACTCTGGATTTTGCGAGCCAGGATAACATTTCGGCTTAATGGTCGTCGCGGGTCTCTGAGGGCATCTAGGATCGTTAGACCCTGGATAGCATTTCGGTGTTTCTGTAGTTATGGGAGCTCTAGGTGTGGACGGAGCCGTGTAAGTTTGTGTTCTTCTTGTTGTCGGTGACACACATTCAGGATCGGATGAGCCAGGATAGCAACGTGGCTTGGTGGTCGTCGCGGGTTCCTGAGGGCATCGAGGATCGGTCGAACCTGGATAGCAGCTCGGTTTTGGTCTATCCACTGGTGTTTTTCTAGTTGTCGGTGGCAAGTAAGTAGCAGGTTGACACTCTGGATCCTTAGATCCAGGATAACATCTCGGCTTTGTTGTAGTCGCAGGCCTCTGAGGGCATCGAGGATCGTTAGACCCTGGATAACATTTCGGTGTTTCTGTAGTTATAGGAGCTCTGGTTGTCGTGTAAGTTGGTGTTCTTCTTGTTGTCGGTGACACACATTCAGGATCGGATGAGCCAGGATAGCAACGTGGCTTTGGAGTCGTCTCTGGTTGAGGGCATCGAGGATCGGTCGAACCTGGATAGCAGCTCGGTTTCGGCCTATCCACTGGAGTTTTTCTAGTTGTCGGTGGCAAGTAAGTAGCGGGTTGACACTCCGGATCCTTAGAGCCAGGATAACATCTCGGCTTAATGGTCGTCACGGGCTTCTGAGGGCATCGAGGATCGGTAGACCCTGGATAACATTTCGGTGTTTCTGTAGTTATAGGAGCTCTGGTTGTCGTGTAAGTTGGTGTTCTTCTTGTTGTCGGTGACACACATTCAGGATCGTTTGAGCCAGGATAGCAACGTGGCTTCGGTGTTGTCGCTGGTTTTTGAGGGCATCGAGGATCGGTCGAACCTGGATAGCAGCTCGGTTTCGGCCTATCCACTGGAGTTTTTCTAGTTGTCGGTGGCAAGTAAGTAGCGGGTTGACACTCTGGATCCTTAGAGCCAGGATAACATCTCGGCTTTATGGTCGTCACGGGCTTCTGAGGGCATCGAGGATCGGTAGACCCTGGATAACACTGTGGTTTGGGTAAGACTGTAGTTGTTCCTCTAGTTGTTTGTGGCTGGAAGGTGACTGGTAAGCACTCAGGATCACTCGATCCAGGATAGCACCTTGGCTTAGGTGAAATTGTGGGAGTGCGGAATGTAGAAGGAGGCAAATAGGTGGCAGGTTGACATCTGGGGTCATCTGAGTTGTCCTCACAGCCTGCTTTTTTGGTTGTTGGCACCTTAGGACATCTGGGATCTGGAGAGCCTGGAAAACAGTTGAGACACTCCGGATCCTGTGAGCCCGGATAACATCTGGGCTTTGTTGTAGTCGCAGGCCTCTGAGGGCATCGAGGATCGTTAGACCCTGGATAACATTTCGGTGTTTCTGTAGTTATAGGAGCTCTGGTTGTCGTGTAAGTTGGTGTTCTTCTTGTTGTCGGTGACACACATTCAGGATCGTTTGAGCCAGGATAGCAACGTGGCTTTGGTGTCGTCTCTGGTTGAGGGCATCGAGGATCGGTCGAACCTGGATAGCAGCTCGGTTTCGGCCTATCCACTGGAGTTTTTCTAGTTGTCGGTGGCAAGTAAGTAGCGGGTTGACACTCTGGATCCTTAGAGCCAGGATAACATCTCGGCTTTATGGTCGTCACGGGCTTCTGAGGGCATCGAGGATCGGTAGACCCTGGATAACACTGTGGTTTGGGTAAGACTGTAGTTGTTCCTCTAGTTGTTTGTGGCTGGAAGGTGACTGGTAAGCACTCAGGATCACTCGATCCAGGATAGCACCTTGGCTTAGGTGAAATTGTGGGAGTGCGGAATGTAGAAGGAGGCAAATAGGTGGCAGGTTGACATCTGGGGTCATCTGAGTTGTCCTCACAGCCTGCTTTTTTGGTTGTTGGCACCTTAGGACATCTGGGATCTGGAGAGCCTGGAAAACAGTTGAGACACTCCGGATCCTGTGAGCCCGGATAACATCTGGGCTTTGTTGTAGTCGCAGGCCTCTGAGGGCATCGAGGATCGTTAGACCCTGGATAACATTTCGGTGTTTCTGTAGTTATAGGAGCTCTGGTTGTCGTGTAAGTTGGTGTTCTTCTTGTTGTCGGTGACACACATTCAGGATCGTTTGAGCCAGGATAGCAACGTGGCTTTGGTGTCGTCTCTGGTTGAGGGCATCGAGGATCGGTCGAACCTGGATAGCAGCTCGGTTTCGGCCTATCCACTGGAGTTTTTCTAGTTGTCGGTGGCAAGTAAGTAGCGGGTTGACACTCCGGATCCTGGGAGCCAGGATAACATCTCGGCTTAATGGTCGTCGCGGGCCTCTGAGGGCATCGAGGATCGGAAGACCCTGGATAACATTTCGGTGTTTCTGTAGTTATAGGAGCTCTGGTTGTCGTGTAAGTTGGTGTTCTTCTTGTTGTCGGTGACACACATTCAGGATCGTTTGAGCCAGGATAGCAACGTGGCTTCGGTGTTGTCGCTGGTTTTTGAGGGCATCGAGGATCGGTCGAACCTGGATAGCAGCTCGGTTTCGGCCTATCCACTGGAGTTTTTCTAGTTGTCGGTGGCAAGTAAGTAGCGGGTTGACACTCTGGATCCTTAGAGCCAGGATAACATCTCGGCTTAATGGTCGTCACGGGCTTCTGAGGGCATCGAGGATCGGTAGACCCTGGATAACACTGTGCTTTTGGTGAGACTGATGTTGTTCCTCTCGGAGTTGGTGGCTGGTAGGTGACTGTTGAGCACGCAGGATCTCTTGATCCAGGATAACACCTTGGCTTAGGTGAAATTGTGGGAGTGCGGAATGTAGAAGGCGGTAAATAGGTGGCCGGTCGACATCTGGGGTCATCTGAGTTCTCCTCACAGCCTGCTTTTTTAGTTGGTGGCACCTTAGGACACCTTGGATCTCGAGAACCTGGGAAGCAGTTGAGGCACTCTGGATCCTTTGAGCCCGGATAACATCTGGGCTTTGTTGTAGTCGCAGGCCTCTGAGGGCATCGAGGATCAGTTGAACCTGGATAACATTTTGTTGTTTCTGTAGTTATGGGAGCTCTAGTCGTTGTGGGAGCCGTGTAAGTTGTTGTTCTCCTAGTTGTTGGTGACGAAAGACACTCAACATCGGTCGAGCCAGGATAGCAACGTGATTTCGGTTCCTGGGGGCATCGAGGATCTGTGGAACCTGGGAAGCACCGAGGTTTGGGTCTATCGACTGCTGTTTTTCTCGTTGTTGGTGGCAAGTAAGTAGCGGGCTGACATTCTGGATCTGATGAGCCAGGATAGCATCGCGGTTTAATTGTCGTAGCGGGCGCCAGAGTGCATCGAGGATCGTTAGACCCTGGAAAACATTTCGGTGTTTCTATGGTTACAGGAGCTCCAGTCGTAGTAGGAGCAGTGTAAGTTGGTGTTCTTCTTGTTGTTTCGGGCGTGTATGTTGATGAAACACATTCAGGATCGGATGAGCCAGGATAGCAACGTGGCTTCGGTGTTTTCACGGGTTTCTGGGGGCATCTAGGATCGGTGGATCCGGGGAAACACCGAGGTTTGGGTCTATCTACTGGTGTTTTTCTCGTTGTAGGTGGCAAGTAAGTAGCGGGTTGACACTCTGGATCCGGCGAGCCAGGATAGCATCTGGGCTTAATGGTGGTCGCAGGCCTCTGAGGGCATCGAGGATCGGTTGAGCCTGGATAACATTCTGGTTGTTCTATTTCTATTGCAGATTCAGTCGTTGGCCGTGGGAAGTAGGTAGTTTTCTGGCATTCAGGATCAGTTGATCCAGAATAACATCTTGCGTTGGTTGTGGTTATTGTTATTCTTGGCCTTTCGGAAGTGGTTGAAAGACAAGCAGGATCTTCTGAGCCGGGGTAGCACCTAGGCTTGCGCACATCTATGGGTATATTGTTCTTTAAACTGCTGCACGAATAATCTCTTTGACAAGTTCCCTTGCACAATTCAATATCACACTTTAGATAGACTTGCGAGCGATCGGGGAATTTGAATGCTTTGAGCGTATTATAATATGTGGAGGTAAGACTGGCTCCAGACTGGGATTCCAACCTTTTCCACTCTCCAAATATTTTTTCCTTTATGGTGCAGCCTCTTTTATCGGAGAGCTGTAATGTCTTGGTGGTTCTTGCCTCAAAGTTCATGTCATCCGAGGCATAGCACTTCAGTATATTGACATCCCATGCTTGAGTCGAATGCTTTACATTTATGGTGAAGGTTACGTCGGTGCCAAGCTTCAGTGTTGAACTAATCGGCTTTATGTTTGGTGGAATTCCAATGCCAATTTCCATCCAGCATTCCACTGGTCCGCTCGGAGTATCCACGGAAACTACTTCGAGCATATCCACAACAAATGGCTTGAAGTAGACCGTTTTCTCCTGCTCCTCGCTGCGGCTGCATGCCACCTTTCGGGCTATATCCCAACTATTCTGAATATCCTTATCATTTTGTATAATCAGAACGTTCTCGATTGAAGAGCATATCGAGCAGGAGGGCTTACTGCCGCAGCCGTCATAAGGCACATTGAATATAAATTTGGTGTCTCCATTATTGGCTGCCACATAGCTAATATAAATAAATGTAATAAATTAAATGGCAGATCTTTAGATCTTTACTGTCGTTACATACGTGCACTTGGGATCATTGTAATAGCCCTGACTGTAAATGATTCCATTAAAGTTTTCCAAAAAGTCCACCTCCACCGTCATTCCATTTCGTTGGTCGCATTTTACATCGATCTTTTCAATGTTTTGCACTGACAAAGATGTCTCACCATTGAATGTGGGCGTGACGTAGCTTAAGACATCATTAAGCGAATCATCGCTGTTCAGATCCGTCCCTGAGGCAATCACCTTGAAGATAATAAAAGAACGCTGGTATCCGTTTGTAAGTTTTGTTGAATATTTTGTACATACCACTATTAGCGCCCATAGAAATATGTGGCCAATGTTGCCCATATTCAATGTGTTTGCTTTAACTTCCAACCTGTAAGACGCATACTCAAAATTAATCAAAATAATAATCCTCAAATAATGCAACAGTTCATTGTCCTTTGTAGCCGAAACTTTTCTTTGTTCCAACCAATTGTTCTAGTATTTTTCAATTTTAGTAGCGGCATCCATTCAGTTTTGTTCAAGTGTCAAGACAAGACCCTACCTTTCGCACAAAAGACCAAAAATCAGTTAAAAAACTCAAAGAAATAATCATAAATAATATGCACACATCATTTTTCTTTGACATGGGTCTATCCGTACACGTCAAAATGTTTATCATTTCAGCTTGACGGTTGAAAAAATTAAATTTTGTTTCATCGCATAATTATAATGAAGTGTGTCGCTGTACAAATATCCGAGAATATTTAGTGTTTGGGTGAGGTAAGATCTACTATATCGTAAATTAGGTAAATGGGTACATGCTGAGGGGCGTACAATATTTACAAAACGCTTCATTGGGCCGGACGCTGTCGCGGGACCTCTTTTGCCGTGATGCCGTGATGCCGTGATGCTAATGCTGATGTGATGCATCTGCTTCGCAAAAACTGGTTTGCTTTTTGAATAATACAACTAACCTTTAAAAAGAAAAAAGCTGCAGATTTCAAAATCCATACACATAAAACACAAACCAAACGTTGCAAAGGGAGACAGACGCGAAGCAAATATTGTACGAGTAGTAGCCCCTGCCAGTGCCTAATATTTGGTTACCTCTCTTGATAAAGGGGTTCCAATTTGAGGCCTTTTGTGTGTGGCATTGGCTTCTGCAATTTGATGGCTGACTAGTTGGTCAGTGTTGTTTTTTTCTATGTATTAGGCACTTTTTTCCACAATAAACTCCATTTGTCTGGGTAGATTGCCAGCATTAAGATAACTCGATTTTTACAATGCAATATGATTATGGATAATTAACGGTCATAGACACAGGAAATCAAAGAGCCACCTCGTATAATTATGTTTATACGGAGTACTCTTTGCGATTGCCATCAAAATTAAGTTGTATTCCAAGTGAAAAATAAAGTACAGCTTATATTTGATGTGTTCTTTGAATTGTCTATTATTTTCCATGAAAATATGGATATATAATTTGTCGACAATCTTCACTGCTACTGGTGCTCCCATTTCTCGCCACATGTGCGCATGACCTAGTTTTATATTTTTTTATCTCTTTGCTATTCGCGGTTTTCACGGTTCAAACTCAAACATGCCAATTTTATAATATTAACCCATAATTATGTACAAACTCAATCGAAATTAGTTAATTGGGTCATTGGTTTTTGGTTTTCCTTTTAATGCCAACATTTTCAAGTTGTAGTATAGTTATTAATGCTAATAAAGTCACAATTTAATCAATTCTCATGGCAAAAATGTGAGACCACTAAAAGTCCGACAGCTCTAATTGAATTTACCACGTAATCTTTTTCCACACATTTTGTATTTAGTCATACAAAGCATGAGCTCGAAATGGATATATAAAAAAAACTCTCTTTATATGGAAGTTCACTTTATTCAAAAACGAATCAAATATGGGCGAATTTCGATGCAGATTACACAATGAATTAAACAATTGTGAGAGGCGGCGTCAGCATGGTTTGGACATTTCGATATGACCACACGAGCTGAGCCTTGATTGCTTTTGGAATGCACATTAAAAGTATTTACCTCCTATAATACCTGTATTTCACATCCCGGACTAAAGAACTAAATACAAATTTGAATTTATAATTCAGCTTTCTCGTTAAAAACGTGCAAATCAGAATTTGCAATACTTAGAAAAAAAGGCAAGAACAAATCGAAGAATTGTTATTATGCCGCAGGCGCACATGCGCAAAAAATATTGCGCATTGTAAGAATTGCGGATCTGTAAAACTTGTTTCGTATTCAAAACTGTGTGTTGACCAGCAAAGAGAAGTAAATTGAAAATACCCGTTCGTATGCTTTTTAAGTATCGCCGCAAGATGCTTGAATTAATAAATCGTATTCGCCAATTAGAGTATTTTATTTGGAGATTTCTAATAAATTCGGTAATTTATATGATTCCTTTATGCCAGTTTGGGGTTTTTACACTTTTGTTGCAATTATCCGTTCACTGACAAAACATTTGTAGGAGCATTGATTCATTCACCTGTTCTTAATTCACTTGGCTTAAATTCTTTTCGGTGCAATTAATAGCCTATTGTGCGGCGCACATTAATTCACTTTGAACACTTGAACACTGGCTTCAGATGCACACAGAAACACTCTCGCTGAAGCGACTAATTAATTGGTCCATCATCTTTTGGCTGGGACTGGGGCCTGGCGCTGACTTACTGCACTTGTTTGTTGAAGACCTACTGGGGGGATGGTTGCGATTTGTTGTCGCTGGTTAAGTGGACGTTGCCGCACTAAGCCTCGAAGAGGTTCGTCTTCGTTTATATACACACGGGGTATGATTTAACAAAATCCGTTTTGGATATTGCTATAAAAATGCAAAGCCCCAGCCCAGCCTCAAGTAAAAAAAAAAGCCAAACAGCAACAAAAAACACCCATGCTAGTAGCCTGCCTATACACACATATTGTTGTTTATTTTACGTTGATTGTAGTGTCTTTACACGCACACTAATCACAGTAGGGTATCGGCGACTTGTTTACAAGATGCAGTGCGATTAATAAACTGTTATGCTGGGTGTTGGAAAATCCTTAATCCTCAATGAGTGCAAAGTCTTAAAGGATGCGTTTTCCAGCACTAGTACTCAAGCTTTAGTTTTATTTATACTTAAAGTGCTTACAACAATCCATAGAGCATTGAATAGCCACCAATGTGAAGCCGGATGAGTCTTGCGATTTTTTCCATTCATGTTGATTTCGTGGGCAGCGAAGACGCGTGAGCAGCATCCACACGCCGACATCGCGCCCGTTGTCTTGACTTGACCCAAGCGCGCGACTGGAACATTTTTCAGCTGAAAAACTGCGCTGAGGCTGCCGACTGCGCTGCGGCTGCGACTGCGCCTTCGCCTGTATCTGCTTTTAGGGCCAAAGAGTCAAAATCCGTCATTGTACTAGCTACATGTGTAGATTCGTGGCCGACTGTCACTACGGCGCCTTCAATGTTGTCATGCAACTCCAACCGGCGACGATTGGTGTGTTGTGGTGTGATGTTGCCGTGGCCAAGTTGATGCGCCTGCCTGGTCATCCCTAACAGGTATTGGGATCCCAAAACTTTGGAAGCCCAACGTCCGCTTCGTGATGCTGATAGATTTTTACCCAAATGGCATCGGTCATGGCGATGCGATGCTATTGCTGTGCTCCGCTGTGCTGTGCTGTTCGTCAGTTCATCGGTTTGTCGCCATGGGAACGTGGCGCGAAGGTAAGAAGAATACGGATAAGCATTTTCTGCCACCGTTGGCTCCCTAGCCTAGCTCTGTGCATACTCGTACGATGAAATCATGATACCAACTTTGATGCAAATGCTCAAGTGTTAGGGCTTTTGTCAACACCTCACGTAACCTAGACAGCAATTAAAGTTTTCAACTTTTGGCTGATCTTTGGCATAGGACATCTGGCAATAGTCGAACTTTTATTTATATTATTTTAATAGAGCTATTTTAATAGGCTTTTGACTAATTATGATGTTGGTTTCAACATACCCCCCACCATGAGTAAGAGAGTTCAATAAACGAAAAAGTCAATGCCAGTAGCGAACAGTGAGTCGCAAAACAAGTAAGTTCCTCTCAAGGATAACATGCGATCTTACATATTGACGAGAGATTACAAATTCGAGTACGTACGTACTTATTTTGATGTTAATGTTCTTTGAAAAACTTTTATAGTCTGCCCCGCGATCGGACATGCTCGTATTTTCCGCGGAATAAACTAAAAATAAGATTCTAGATAAACAATTAAATAATGTTTTTGACCTCATACAGTTGTGAGGATTCCCAGATTTCAATATCTTTAGTCTTACCTAGGGCCGAGCCAAGCAAGCCGGGACTAAGCTCTAAAACAGCGCTCCCAATTGACCTTTTATAATCAAAATTTGATAGTTTCGAGTCCCAAGCGACGGCCCTCTAAATTCCCCCTTCGCCATCCTCTTTGCACGATCATGGTCTACCTGGAACCGTCAAATTTCCATTTTGTGATGAGGAATCCCGATTACTCATGCTCATGGCGGATGCTCAAGCATAAATAACAGCACCAACAGCGGACACTTCTTGAACTAACAAATGTAGTTGCTCGCATTCAAAAGCTCGTTGTTGCGGAGTTTTGCATGTAGAAATCAACTAAAATTGTAATAAATGTGTAGAGGTCATGTAAGAGTTCAGTTTTTTACATTATTTCGATTAATTAATCGAATGAAATTGCTAGTTTTTAAAAATGAGCCCTTATCAGTATTAATGAATCTTTACCTGCTATATCTGGCCAATGTAATCTGCAATCTGAACCAAGTCAATGTAAAGTCGATGTAATTGACTAATAGTGACTATTATAGTTATAAATAACACTTTGTATCATGTGACAAACTCTTTGATTTCCATTGGGATAGTGAGCGCCGACCACCCCCAAAAGCTGGTGTCTTCCTCCCCCTGCACCTAGAACGTGGTGGAGCTTTAATACAAAAAATCAATACAGCCACAGCTGCTGGTGTACAACAAGTGAGAAGTTAATCGCAAATGCCGCAGAATAATATAAGAAATAAAATAAACAGCATCCAAGCATAAATTTAATACTTCAGTTCGATTAGGAAACTAAATCTTTATTGTATATTTTCGAATTCAGTCGGAAGAAGGAACGCATTTGAACGCATCAATATGCCGAGCTCACGACGTGCCATCATGAAGCACATATTGTCCGGACTGTGTAACAAAATGAATCGCACCAAAGTGGTGCCCACTGATGTAATGGAGACGCCGCTGAATCGCTGCCTGACCACCTTTGACATTGCTCTGCTTGGTACGCGACCCCACAATCCTCAACTTTGTGCTAATCAATGAAATTTCCTCTGCAGGCATTGGACATATGGTTGGGGCTGGCATTTACGTGTTGACTGGAACGGTGGCCAAGGAAATGGCAGGTCCTGGCATTATACTCTCGTTTGTGCTGGCTGGCTTCATCTCAATGCTGGCAGCTCTCTGCTACGCGGAATTCGGAACGCGAGTGCCCAAGGCTGGCTCCGCTTACGTCTACACCTACATATCAATGGGTGAGTTCTGGGCATTTGTCATTGGCTGGAACATACTGCTGGAGCACATGCTTGGCGCTGCATCGGTGGCACGGGCCTGGAGTGGCTACGTAAACTCCATGCTGGGCGGATGGATTGGCAATACTACCTTGGAGTTGACGGGCGGCATCCATGAGCCAGGACTGGCCCAGTATCCGGACATACTTGCCTTTCTAGTCTGCATCGTCTACGCCGCAGCACTGGCCAGCGGCGTGAAGGCCACGGCGGTCATCAACAGCCTCCTCACCCTGGTCAACATAGCTGTCATGGTGCTCGTGATAAGTGTGGGCTTCTGGTATGCGGACACCAAGAACTGGTCAGAGGCTGAAGGCGGCTTCCTGCCCTACGGCGTTGGTGGTGTCATTGCGGGCGCCGCTACCTGCTTCTACGCGTTTGTCGGCTTCGACTCGATTGCCACGTCGGGGGAGGAGGCCAAGAGTCCCGCCACATCCATACCCATTGCCACAATAATCTCGCTGTGTGTCGTCACGGTGGGATATATTCTGGTGAGCGCAGCTCTGACACTCATGATCCCGATTAGCGACATTAATCCAGCGGCCTCCCTGCCTGAGGCATTTGGCCAACTAAATCTGTCTTGGGCCAAGTACATCATCTCCATCGGAGCTCTCTGCGGCATGACCACCACATTGTTGGGCTCGTTGTTCGCTCTGCCCCGCTGCATGTATGCCATGGCCTCCGACGGCTTGCTCTTTAGTTGTTTCGGCAAAGTGAATGCCAAGACCCAGGTGCCATTGCTGAATCTGGCCGTGTCTGGGATTCTGAGTGCCACTCTCGCTCTGGTGTTTGATCTGGCCAAGCTGGTGGAGTTCATGTCGATTGGAACACTGCTGGCGTACACCATCGTCTCGGCCAGCGTGATTATCCTGCGTTACAGACCCATGTCACGGCTCCACAATCCCATACGGGCACCCGACACCCCCGGCAGTCCCGATGATGTCTCCGACGAGGACTCAATGTCGCAGTCGAGCCTGGACACCGCATCTTCGCCCACGAATTTCTTGATCGAGGAAGGACTGGCTGGACGACTGAAGACAAAGTTCCGCTACCTTGAGCCACTTCTGGGACGCTTCGAGCCCGGTTCCGTCGTCTCTGTGGCTGTTATGCTCTACATCGGTCTGTGCTTTGCCATCTGCGTGGAGCTGAAGGTTTCCTGGACGGAACTGTACTCGGGCACCTGGTGGGCCCTGCTCATCTATGGATTCATCATCTTTGCCGCCTGCCTCTGTGTGGCCGTTATGGCGGTGCACAATCAAAACACACGCGGCTTAGTTTTCAAGGTGCCACTGGTGCCGTTTGTACCGGCGCTGGGAATCTTTTGCAACATTCTGCTGATGGTTCACCTGGACGCTGTGACCTGGGTACGCTTCTTTGTGTGGGTTTGCATTGGCTTGGTGGTGTATTTTCTGTACGGCATTCATCACAGCAATGAGGGTGAAACGTGCTCCTCGTATTCCATTCTGATGACATCCTCCGAGGCTGGAAAATTGCCCTGGGGCTCGGTGAAAGGTTTTGCATCTGGGAAAATTGGAAGGCATACTGCCATAGAGAGATTTACGGGTCGCACAAAGGCAGAAGAAAAGAGAACCATTGCGGAAGAGAGTGATAATGATGCTGCTGGGTATTCCTAAGTCCCAGGCCCTACGTATGTATACTCTGAAACCACTCCGAAGGCTCTATACTCGTACTTAACATAACCCATCCGAATTCTGATGCATTCTTTAATGGCCTGTGTACTAAAATATTAAGTGATATTCTGAGAAATGTGCTCGAGGTAAATCAAAATTGATCGATAGCGAAGTACCTTTGCCACAAAACTATACATTTTAGCCGTGTCTACCGAGAATTATTTACATATATGTACCACTATTTCGATTCTATACCTATACATATATTATATTCTACTATATACCTTTATTGAAAACGTACAAAAATATATATATATATATATAACGGTATGCACACAGCGCATTTGTTAAACGATAGTAAATGTCTAATTGAATATGAATTACTTTGTAAATAAATATATCAAATATTATACATTTTAGACTCTTTAAATAAACACATAAATATATTTAAGGTTTCCTTTGTGCCTTATTGAAACTAATCGGAACAGGAGATGCAATCCTCAATTATACTTAAAAACTAATAATAATAATGGAGCACTGACCTTACGATTCGGAGGGCCGCCTCTCGAGTGGGTCATTGCACTGATGAAATCACGCCCGACTGGCTGATGTGATGGCGCGTCGCAGCGGCAGTGTGAAAGTTTTAAGCCAAAATCGTGCATCGAGAAAGTCTTTTTGATTGAAGCCACACGCTTGGCCACAGGTTCATATTTTTGGAAGCTCATTACGGTTATGGTTTGATCTGTGAAATATTCGATTACAATTTGAAAAATAAGGCACAACCATTATGTCTAGGTCTACTTTGTACATGCAGCTCCAAGCCAATCAGCGTTAAAATGTGATTTTGGTTATCTCTTCTTGCCAATACCTGTACCGATTGAGCAGCTTTAGAGTTCTTGAATCTATTTGTGTTTGCATGTATGAGAAGAATGTCGTCAGGATCATGATTCAGACAAACAAAAAGTGGGGGGAAAGGCAGAAGCATCAAGTTAGCTTGATGACGCAGCTATGGTGACGCATGCGCAGCGACCAACACAATAACATGAATTTCGCCTCAGTGGGTACACCCTTTTATTTCGTCAACCATTGAAAAGGTAAATATCTGTTAAGAGACCCCACAATTGGCAATGCCAAAGGATTTTTTCCGAAATTTATCCTTCCTCTAAGAAAATAGAAGTAGCATGGATAATACCAAGATTTTCGCTTTTTATTACAAAGGGGAAGACTTGCTTTAATAAATAAGTAACACTGTATCCTGCAAACTGATGGACAAGTTAGTAGAGTGTAGTAGATGCTAACATCAGAGTCCTCTCCGCTCATCAAATTATTAAAGAAAGGAGCAACTTTGTTTCGTCATAAAATTAAATAATGTACCGGCAGGAAAATGTGTTTTTTAATGATAAATATAATATTATCTATAGATACATATAAATGTATGTACAAATGTATGTATGTTTCCAATGCTATAATTTCTGTATCATTTTTGTATGGTTTGGTGACACGGTAGCAAGCAGCTTCGGTTGTTAATACTCGTCTCGCGCATATACATACATACACCCGTACATACTTTCCATGCTGACATACATACATACACACATGAGAAAACAGATGCAAAAACATCCAAAAAGAAACTGCGGAGAAAGAGTGAGGTTGTTTCGATTTTGATACCCTCGAAGAGAGTTTGACAGATGTTTCACAACGCGAGAAGAAAATAATTTATTGCTTTATGATGCTTTAATTGCTGTATACTGACCTTCAAAAAAGCATTTGTTTTATTTATTATTTTATAGCATGGATTTATATTTCAAGTCACTCGAGAGAGCTGTCAGAGAGCGCTAATGGATCTGAAAGGGTATCAGAAGCTCGACTAGCGAAACTATGCTTAATTTTTCCTCACACACACACATACATGTAGATCTCGGTCCCGTATTTATCGGCGACTTTGTGTGGATATTGAACCAAAACGAAAGAAGAGGAGTCGAAACAGACGTTTCTTTTTAAATGTGCGAGCGTTACTTTTTGAAAAACGTGCTGGCTGCCAAGCGCCAAAAATGCGTGCGTGCGTACAACTGCTTTTGTGTGTATTTTGAGCATTCTATACGTTTTGTGAATTTTTACAGTGGACGAGAAGAGTCTTTAAACCAATTTCACATTGCATTCTTGCCTTACCTTTAAAACAATAATAAATCTACATCATGTTTTTTCCTGAAAATGCAGTTGGGTTCTGCTGAGGAGATAGGGGCCGGGTCGTATGACTTTTGTAGACCACTGTACATGCTTGGGTTGGTTGGGAATCACCTTGCGCCAGCTGAATATGCGACTACACCAAATATACTACGATCATGTACAGCCGTGCCCCACAGCACTATGTTGATACTTAGGGGATGAAGTAGTGGTACAGCTGGCAATTTCTTGGGCAATAGAAATCTACCTGCGACCTGCGTAGCGCAGTGGTGATCTTCTTCCTTTCGGCGTTCGGGATCCTTCCAACCGATCGACAGCTGCAAACAACAATCGTAAATCGCTTCCAAAACACCGTGTGCGATACATACAGACACGCATGCTCGCATACATACATGCATACATTCGAGTAATTTAAAATCTCTGAATGTAAGATCGCAGATGTTTTTGACATTGTACATACACACATACAATGAGGGGCTGAAATATAGTGCGTAGATCTCTACTGTACATGTGTGCAGGTTAAGTAGTATTTATTGCGAAATGATATTACAAATTATAGTTGTTCATTTATTCTTGGCATTCAAATTTAACGGATCAGCTCCTCAGAACAGAACAGAAACTCTATGTAGTTTACCGTATGTGTGTACGTGTGATGTATTTTATTTTATAATGACGTTTCTAGAGAGAGACAAGCAAAGCCTGGAATTTCAGCTCTCCACGCAATTGTTTTCAAAAATAACGATGGATGACGTTTCTTTCGCTCCCATACAAACTCACACACACATGCAAACACTGCCTTGTGTGAGAGGAGAGCGAGAGAAACAAGACATATTTTATTGAAGGTTTGGCAGTACAGTCCAAGAGCAGTTGCGTTGGCAAATCTACTTTTCACTTTTCAGACTTGCCTGAACACACATAAATAGGCAGTTCCGAGAAATTTGTGTTAATGGTGGTGGTTGGTTGGTTCAATAACACAGGCGCAGCCGCCAAGCCAGGTCAAATTGTAGTTGCCCGCACATGAAATTTACCTGCACAGGCACCGTCGCAGGAGAAAGAGGGGGACCAAAAAATAAGCACCCCTAGACTCCATTACCTTGTTTTTCATGTGACGTGGATGTCATGAACTTCGATTCGAAACAACTACCGAATAACATTCGTTTGGCGAGTACATTCGTTTGTTTTAAGCGACGTCGGTCGGTCGTGTTTAGTCCGCGCACGGAATAGCGAGTGTGAGAGAGTTTCGATTTGTTTTAAAATCGGACAAAAGCAACGCGCGTTTACATTATTCAGCTAGCTGCGAGAATTTCGTCAGAAATTGTCTCTGTTGCGAAATACATACAAGAGATCGAAATATTCCGCCTAGCAAAACGTGCCGAACGATGCGTCGTTAAATGTCAAAATAGTTAACTAACCCTGCAGGCTGCAATAAAATGCCAATCGCGCGGTAGACCAACCAATCGTCACAGCAACCGTCACGGTCCCACCGAAGAGTACCCCTCCCCAATCCAAGCGAAAATTGTGATAAACGCCGCCAGTGTAAAGAAATAACAGTGAACTCTGCAATACATGCAACATGGATAACAGTGGAGTGCAGAATAACACTACAACGGCCGAGGCCGACAAAATAGTCATCTACTCTCAGCCCGCCTCGCCAACAGTCGCCTCCGCGGCCAGCCCTGCAAGAAGCAGCATAAATCATCAGCATTCCCCAGCCAATGGCAGCAGCGGCAGCAGCATCGAAGAACGCCTGTCACCCACGATGAATGCGGGGTCACTTTTCACGCCCAAGAAGGAATTTCCCAGCGCCAAGATGCTGCAGACGATCCGCGAGAAACTGCTCACGCCTGGTGGGGCCTGCGAGCTGTGGGCCCTAGGCATCGCCGCCGAGCCAACTGAAAAAGGGTTGACCGGAGAGCAGCCGGTGAAGCTGATCAAGAATCGTTACCTGATCAGCGCTCAACCTAGTCACATTTCGGCAGCTGCGGCAGCTAAAACACCCGCCTCGTATCGCCATCTCATCGATCTCACGTCCTCGAACCTCAAGTGCGTGGACGTCTTCAGTGGGGAGCAGTTCCTCTGCCGGATCATCAACGAGCCGCTGGACAAGGTGCAGCGGGCCTACTTCCAGCTGCAGCAGGACGAGGACCTGTGCCGCAGCACCATCTACGGCCACTCGCTCATCCGACCCGTGCACGACATTGTGCCGCTGTCCAAGGACCGCACCTACATCATCATTGCGCAAGCGCAGCCGGGTCGCGACTCTGTCGGACTCACGGGTGTCTATGAGAACCTGCACACCTACATCAGACACGAGAAGCGACTGTGCGAGGCGGAGGCGCGTGCCATTTTCCACCAGATATGCCAGACGGTACAGGTGTGCCACCGCAACGGCATCATCCTGCGGGACCTCAAGCTGAAGCGCTTCTATTTCATCGACGAAGCCAGGTGGGTGTCTCTCTTATTCCCCCCTTTTCCCCTTCTTGTGTTACTCGAACACTATTATCTCTCAGCTATGGCAAGACACCTTCAAATTTAAGCGCCACCATTTGCTGGCCGTGTATGGATGGGATGGGGTGGGGGGCTGCAGCGGCTGCGGCTTATTTTGCAATTCGATGAAAACTCGTTATGCGCCGCGAGAGCTTGTTGGTGTTGGTTGTGGTGCCACAATTGTTGCTCTCGTTATTGGCCCATGTTTTTGTTGCTGCTGTCGTCGTCGACGTTGTGGGTAACATTGAACATTTAACAAGTGTTGCAATCGAATCACCAATAGGCCAACAAAAACAATTATACTCACGAAAAGAGCATACACACACCTACATATGAGTACGATACTGAGAGCAGTCTGCTACAGTCGTGGCGAAAATGTTGGCACCAGTTCATATCATGGAGTACAGCAATGTTTCGTTTTGCTTATTTAAGGAATTATAGCACCACCACAGTGCCTTTGACTTTGTGCGCATTAGAATACTGTGGGTGTGTATGAGTGTGTCGAAGCCCGGCCAAATGAATGCATTTGAATTCATACATACTGATGTATATAAATATGTGTTTATACAGTCGCTGATGTAATATTGAGTAGGCTCGCACAAGCACTTTTAGGAAGAGAATAATTGTACACAAGTAAATAAAACCTATGTAGATATCTGGCTTCATATCTA